AGGGGGTCTCGGGTAGCTCCGATTAACCGGCCCATGATGTTTTCTGGCATCAAAATGTTGGTCCGCCAGCCTGGCGGCTTCAGGTAAGGTAAGAGGTTTGCGGTCTCTCACCCATTCTTGTGCTTCCGGGGATAGTCCGTTGAAAAATTGTTCCAACAGCATAAGTTGGCGCAGTTCTTCCATGGTGGTGGCTTGGCTTGCCTGTATCCACCCCTGTGAGGCTTGGTCCAGCTTGTGCGCCCACTCTGCGTGCAAATCTTTATCTGGTTTGGGTAATCCACGGAATTTGCGCCGATATGCTTCTGGCGTAATGGCATACCTCTCGAGTATGGCCCTTTTTACTTTGGAATAGTCTTTGCTGTCTTCCCTAGGGACAGCGCGATAGGCCTCTGCTGCCCGTCCTGCCAATTTTCCCGCTAGTAGGGGCACCCACACTGCCTGCTCTAGATCGTGCAGGTCACATAGTCGTTCAAAGTCCTGCAAGTAGCCATCAATTTCATCATTCTCCTCACTTTGAAGGCATGATTAGGTATTTTTGGTTTTACCTGACCGCAGATGGAGGCAGTAATGGATTCTGCTCTGGACGGTGCTCCCTGGTGGTGTTGTGCCATCATATACTCCTGGACATCAGCCATCAGGACCGTCAGGATATCCAGGGGTACTGGCTGCGGTAAAAACTCCAGCCGGGTTCTCAGTTCCCTTTGGTACGGGGTTTCTTCCCTGGCTGGTGGGGGTGTGCTGTTGTGAGCTCGGTCACCCTCCATCAGTTCAGCGATCAGCACGGCTTTGGACTTGTTGCTGGCTATTTTTCCTCTAGCTTCCAGCAGTTCCTTCAGTGTCTGCCTTTTCAATGTAGCATAATCAGTCTCCATTCACTGTTCTCCTTCGGCTGATTGCAGCATACGAATTGCCATTCCCTTTTCTTGTTCGGTTGTTTCTTTTCATCCGAATGCGCTTTTCGGCTGTAAGGTTGGATCCTGTCGCTTGCCACCAATTGTAGCGGAGTGTCAATATTAAATCCCACGATCTCCGCTGGTTAAGAAGGTAATCCACAGTCAAGCGCTGAAAAGTAAGGCAATATCCCAAATCTTCCAGTAACCGGACGAAACACAGTCCTGAGAGTCAACTGAGGCTTTATTCACAGGCTCCACAATTTATACAATTCCCCATGCAAGGGGTTTCCTGAGTCACATCCCAGGAGCATTACAGGAGTGGACTACATGGGAAACTTAATGTACAGAGCATTTCTCCCATCAGGCACCGCTGCACGAGAGGGATCCTCCCACTGGAATGTACCGTTAAGTGGATTATCCCTCCGTGCCGCAGAACCGGCAATTTATATTAAAACGCATAACTTTACGAATATTAGGTTGATTTGCTCGATTGGACGTTTGATAGATAGCTGGGGTCTGAGCGCATAATTCGTGAGATTACACCTCAGATCCCAGCTAAAACAACTGAATGCCGCACGAAAAACATATTCACCAAAACATGCATTCAAAAGACAGATTGGCATATGGGGAATAAAATACCGAACGGCCCAGAACTCCCGAATGACCTGGAAGTCCAGCGGTGTTCGCACCGTCGAGTAGCCGTTTTTAGTACCACACGCTCGACGACCAAACACCGCTGGAGGAACAAAGAATCCAAGATGGCCGACCACCGCGTGGTCGGTAGTCGAACAACGGACACCTAGGAGAGCCTCTAATTACCGATTGCAACATTGTTGCAATTGGTTAACAAGCGCCACACGTCTCTTAATGTGTGGGCTGTTACAGGTTGGTTTATTCGGTTCACGAACGGCCCGCAAAGGTGCCGTTCGTGAAACGAAATGAAATACAGCTATCTGCTTTCAGCAGATAGCCAATGCAGGCAATACAATATTATACAATCACAGTACATTACACCCAGGAACATACACATCACCAAAACCATACAGGCAACCCTTAAAGCCATAGTCTCTGTATATTGTCCAAGTGGCTAGGTTTGCCACAGTATTTGTGGGACATAACAGCATACAGATGTGTGTTGTATTGTAGTAAAAGCTAACGATATTATGTTGAGTAATCTAAAGGTTTTATATGTAAGGAATATAGATATAATAATATCTACACACACATAGAGCCTTCAGGGACCCTGTAGTTCTTTGTTTTAAGCAGTGATATAAACATTTATATTTGGTAAACATACAGTATATACTCGAGTTTAAGTCTAGTTTTTAAGCACATTTTTTGTGCTTAAAAACACCCACTCGACTTATACTCTAGTCACTGTCTGTTTTATGGCAACTTAGAGAGCCGCGGCCGTCAGAGCCGTGGCAACGATCCGCGCGGCAACCAGACCGCGAGACTTACAGTGGAGCTGACCGGAACGGAGGAGAAGGGAGCTGACAGGAGCTGCAGGAAAGGTAAGTAAATGCGTCCTGCCGGTCCCCCCACTTCACAGCCCATGCCACTGGACCACCAGGGATTAAGATAGCCCCCCTCCCTGACCGGTTAACAAGCAGGGAGGGGGTACAAATTTTTTTTTAAATAAGTAAAAAAAAAATAATATTAAAATTAAAATAATAAAAATGCCCTCCCCCCACCCAGTTCACACACACTACACAAACACACACTCTTCATTATATACACACTCTGCATTATATACACAGAGTCTGTGTATATAATGCAGAGTGTGTGTTTGTATGAGTGTGTGTGTGTGTGTGTATAATGCAGAGTGTGTGTTTGTATGAGTGTGTGTATATAATGCAGAGTGTGTGTTTGTATGAGTGTGTGTGTATATAATTATAAAAATCACAGAATTTCATAGCCCCAAGTTTTACCCTCGACTTATCCACGAGGCATAGCATATTTCACAATTGTTGGTCACAAAACTGCACTCGACTTATACATGAGATCGACTTATACACGAGTATATACGGTAGTTTAAAATGTATATACATATAATAATACACACTATAAACTCACAGCAGCAAAAGCACAATTATAACCAATTTGCTACACCATATAGCAGTGATGGCGAACCTTTTTGAGCCCGAGTGCCCAAACCGTAATACATGCCAATTGTTTTCCCTCAAAGTGCCAAAACGGCATTTAAACCTGAATACTGAGGTTTAAGTTTAGAAAAAACAACTCATACAGTTGTCCGAACTAATTAACATCTCTGTGTGTGTATTAAACAGTTTGTGTGTGTGCTCGGCAGTCTGTCTGTATGTGTATTTAGCAGTCTGTCTGTGTACTTAGCAGTCTGTCTGTATTTAGCAGACTGCTGAGTACACAGTCTGCTGAATACACACACAGACTGCTAAATACACACACACAAACAGACTGCTAAATACACACACACACACACAGACAGACTGCTAAATACACACACAGACAGACAGACTGCTGAGTGTACACACACAGACAGACTGCTGAGTGTACACACACAGACAGACTGCTGAGTGTACACACACTGTTTGAGGGGTACAGTGTATGTGTTTGTGTGTGGAGTGATGTGTGTGGGTGGGGTGATGTGTCTGTGTGTGTGTCTTTTTGTGGGGTGATATGTGTAGGGCAGGGGTGCTGTGTGTATGTCGTCCCCCCTCTCCCCCTCCTGTTTTCTTTCCCCCCATCCCTCCCTCATTTTTTTTCTCCCATCCCACACTCAGTTTTCTCCCCCCATCTCTCCCTCAGTTTTCTCCCCAATCTCTCCCTCAGTTTTCTCCCCAATCTCTCCCTCAGTCTCCCCCCATCTCTCCCTCAGTCTCCCCCCATCTCTCCCTCAGTCTCCCCCCCAATCTCTCCCTCAGTCTCCCCCCCCAATCTCTCCCTCAGTCTCCCAATCTCTCCCTCAGTCTCCCCAAATCTCTCCCTCAGTCTCCCCAATCTCTCCCTCAGTCTCCCCTCCTCTCCCTCAGTCTCCCCATCTCAGTCTCCTCCCCATCTCTCCCTCAGTCTCCCCAATCTCTCCCTCAGTCTCCCCAATCCTCTCCTCAGTCTTCCCCCCATCTCTCCCTCAGTCTCCCCATCTCTCCCTCAGTCTCCCCTCTCCTCAGTCCCCCCATCTCTCTCCCCCCTCAGTCTCCCCAATCTCTCCTCTCTCCTCTCTCCCAGTCTCCCCCCATCTCTCCCTCAGTCTCTCCTCTCAGTCTCCCCATCTCTCCTCGGTCTCCCCATCCTCCCTCTCCAGTCCCCATCTCTCCCTCAGTCTCCCTCTCTCTCTCAGTCTCCCCCCAATCTCTCCCTCAGTCTCCCCCTCCTCTCTCCTCAGTCTCCCCCAGTCTCTCCCTCAGGTTCTCCCCCCCAATCTCTCCCTCAGGTTCTCCCCCCCCCCTTGAGCTCCTACCTTGTAGCGTGGCCGAGCGCGGAGCTCAGTCTCCTGTACCCGGCGGACAGGAAGTGCTCTCTCTGTGAGCACTTCATTTCCGTCCGCCCGGGTACAGGAAACATAAGTTCCTCTACCGCGGTGCGCTCGGCCACGCTACACAGAGTGCCTGGCAGGAGGGAGCGCTATGCGCTCTGCGCTCACCTCCTGCCGGTCACTCCGGCTTTGCGCCCGCCGGGCCGGTGCGCCCTAAGGTGGCCACTTGTGCCGCCTTAAGGATGCGCCGGCGGAGCGCACCCTCCCTCCGGCGACCTATGGCAGCGTGCCCACAGAGGGGGCGCGGCGTGCCACCTGTGGCACGCGTGCCATAGGTTCGCCACCACTGCCATATAGCATTTCAATTCAACATGCTAATCCACTTACTTGACAAGTCTAACATGACACCTCTTATTTATTTATAAAAGAAAAATGACCAGGAAGGATACATTGAGATTTCTCTTGTTTTCAAGTATGTCCTGGGTCCACAAAACATTGCATTGATACAATAAAATACAAAAACAATATTAAAACAATATATACAAAATTTAACATAGAACAGGAAGAAAATATATAATCAACCATGACAGGTGCACTCTGTTAAGATATGTAGAGAGGGATCACTTAAAGCAGGGTTGTCCAACCTGCGGCCCCCCAGATATTGCTGAACTACAACTTCCACGATTCCCCTTTTTAATTGAAAGAATCATGGGAGTTGTAGTTCAGCAACATCTGGGGGGCCGCAGGTTGGACAGCCCTGACTTAAAGGATTTTAAGCCTGTGGAAGATTTAAAAGTGTGTGGGAGGTCGTTCCATAATTGCGGGGCTCTGTAGGAAAAGGAGGATTGGGCTGCTTTCTTTTTGTATTGAGGTAGACTTATTAAAGTGCTGGCACTGGATTGGAGGTTATAGGAGCTGGAAACAGCCAAGGAGAGCATTCTGCTCAAGTAGGGTGGGAGCTTCCCAGAAAAGCTCATAAAAACAAGGCTGGAAAGATGAAGTGTGCATCTGGATTCCAGCGACAGCCAGTTTAGTTATTTTGGCATGTCACAATGGTGGGTCATGTAATTACATTGTAGTACAAAGCGGCAGAAAGAGTTATACAATGTATTACGTTTATTAAGGTGGGTTTGTGGTGCATGTGCATATACTACATCCCCATAATCAATGATTGGCATCAGCATTTGCTGTACAATCTTTTCCTTTACTGTAGGGTTTAGGCAGGATTTGTTTCTGTACAGGGCACCTAGTTTTGGATAAAGTTTAGATGCAAGTTTTTCTATGTGGAGGCCAAAAGATAGATTGGGGTCTAACAACATACCCAAGTATTTGAAAGAGTGGACTGCGGTCAGTGTGCTATTTGATTTTGTTTTGATGGATAGATGGGAATTTTGTAATTTGTGTAATTTAGGTACTGTTCCAAAGATCATTTTGACAGTTTTTGTCAGTGTTTAGGAAGAGGATTTTTTTTGTGATCCACTTTTCTACCTCTGAACTGGTATTGAAGCACAGCCTCAAGCTGCGGTAGATCGGATTTGCTTGCATAGATTATTGTGTCGTCTGCGTACATTTGAGGATTTGCAGACATTAGGCAGATCATTTATAGATAATGTGAATAGGAGGGGCCAAGAATGGAACCTTGGGGAACACCACATGTGACTGGGAGAGGGATGGAGTCGCTGTCAGAAATGGACACATGATCGATCCGATACATATGATCGAAACCAGGTTAGTGGACTTAGAATTTTTCTAAGATTTTTGACAATACTGGGAGCAATGATATTGGGCAATAGTTAGAAACCAAAGTAGTGTCACCACTTTTATGGATAGGCACTGCTCTCGCAGTCTTCCAAAGTTTGGGTATGTAACCAGACACCAAGGATTCGTTAATTAGGGTTGTGACAGGTTTAGAAATTGCCGGCACACAGCTTCAACAGTATTGCTGGGATTTAATCAGGTCCAGACAGGTTTTTCATTTTTATCTTATTAAGGTGTTTCTGAATGACACTTATAGGTACAGGTCTAAAATTGAACTTCTCTATATTGGGTCTATGCAAATTTAGTGGGGCCTGATCCACATTTGTAGTTTCAGCATGTGTGTCATTTATTAGTTTGGCAATCAGGGTGGTGGAACCTCCGACAAAATCATTGTTAAAGGATTTGCTACATCTAAAGGAAGTTGCAGGGTTTGATTGTCCACTTGTGACAGTGGCGGGTTGGGAGTGGATTGTGGGAGTTTGTAAGTTATGTATGACTTTCCAAAAGTTTCTAGGGTTTGATATGTTATTGTTTAGATTTTCACAGAAATATTGGGCCTTGGCCAATTTTGTTTGTTTTGCGCATAGATTTCACCATTGTCTATACGCACAGTGATCATTCATAGAGCCAGTACGCTTCAACTTTGACCTCAATGAAAACCCGAAACTGGTACATTTGAATGAGGTCAGCTGTGATCCAATTCATATGTGTCCCTTTTACTCTCACCTTACGCAAGCGGGGCATGCAAATTCCAAAATTGTAGGAGTTCAGACTGAAAGAATTAAACTGCACAGTTTAGATCTGGGATTAGGTCTAATCCGTGCCATGGGAGTTTCTTGATGTCATTTAGAAAGGATTCAAGATTCAATTTTTTGAAGGACCTGGTGATTTTAACCTTTGGAGAGGATTTAGTAGCCTTAATTTTGCACATGCAGAACACTAAGCAGTTATCACTGAAACTATTAGGGAGAACACCTGGAGGATTGAGCAGGGTATGGTCATGGCTTTTAATGTTTAATGCGAGTTGGGGAGGAGAATAATTGCGTTAGCTGCAAAGTCTTAAACAGCGAGCAAGAAGTATTATTTTTAGGATTCAATCAATATTAAAATCTCCAAAGACCAACAGTTCACTTTTTGGGTTTTGAGCTATGGTTTCACTAAGGAGTTGGGCTATGTCAGAAAGGGAATGCACTGGGGAGCTAGGTGGGCGGTACACTCCTACAACAATGATTGATTTACTGCACAGGATCTCAATTGTGCCAGAAAGGAATTCAATTGTGTCAGGAGAGCTAAGTTTTGTAAGGGGGTGAACTTGATAGAATTGTCAATATAAATGACAATGCTGCCTTCTCTTCTTGCTCTGTCATTTCTATGGCATGAATACCCATATATTGCAATGGCATAGTCAGGTATTTTTGCAATTAGCCACAATTCAGAGAGCACAATGATTTTGGGCTCATAATGTGAACACCATCCTTGCAGTGCATCGATTTTTCATCTACAAGCCTATCAGTAAAGGTCAATAAAACAGATACAAACTTCCCAACAGAACCCAGTACACAGAATTAATAATATGCCACAATTATTATTATTATTATTATGATATTTATAGAGCGCCGTCAAATTCCGCAGCGCTTTACAATGGGTGGACGAACAGACATGTAGTTGTAACCAGACAAGTTGGACACACAGGAACAGAGGGGTTGAGGGCCCTGCTCAATGAGCTTACATGCTAGAGGGAGTGGGGTAAAATGACACAAAAAGGTAAGGATAGTATTATACTAATGACAGTTGCAGAAGAGTAATCAGTCAGTCTGATATTAACAGTTTACTGGATACGCTTTTATGAAGAAGTGGGTTTTTAACGATTTTTTGAACAATTGTTGGTTTATTAATCAGTTTAATATTAACCAACCCTGCCAAGTCTATGCCAATAAAATTTAGTTACAGTAACCTGATATATAACTTTATGTAATGATGGGCTACACCTTTCTTTAACCCTATTGATTTAATACCTAAACTTATTAAAGGTTCCTTCTAGCTTTAGTATATATGTTAAACTGATACATATAAAATTTATAAGATTGCAGACTGCATGTAGAATAATTTATAACTTTTCTATGAATCCCTCCTCAATGGGATATGTTCGGTTTACAATATACAATATATATACATATATACTTACATATAGGCATTTAACAGTTAAATATTTAAAATGAAGAGAAATCTTTATACATTACCAACATTTTATGGTGAATTATTTCAATTTGGGATTCTCCACTCTTGATGCTCTGGTCTGTAACTCAGTCTATTGCCCTCAGTCAGTCAGTTTCTTAATTTTGTAGCCCTCTGATCTTCCTTGATCTTTGATGATGATCTCAAGATCTTTGCTTGTTCTATTTTTAAATGTTTCTCCCTATTTAACCATGATTTTCCCCTAGTCATTTCCTATTCCTTGTTTGTAACTGGGCTGTACCTGGGATTAAAATCTGCCTTTTGATTGGTTATGGGCGTATCTTAATATGTAATGATTAATTTCACCCCTAGGGACTCTGACCAGTAGATGTCACTCTTTACCCAGGTATGAAGACCTTAACTAAGACATTTATTAACCTTTTAAATAAATCAATTGACCTTTAATTCACCTATACTGGTATCAGTATATATCATTTACCCATCTAACTTGTATGAATAATTGATAAATACATTAATCTATACAAAAATAAAATGTTATATATATATATATATATATATCTCCAAAGTAGGGAGATGACCAGCACTCACGGACATTTGAAGTTAAAAATGTGTTCTTTATTGAAGATGCATTAACACAGGATCAACGTTTCAGTCCCCATCTGGGACTTTAATCAGGATCAGACAGAAACATCAAAGAAAGCATTAAGATTTATATAGGGAAAATCAAAGGAAATTGACTTACCCCAGGTGCTGTGACTAATGTTGCTAGCATTCCCGAGTGCAGTGTGCGCATGCGTTTAAAAACTCTGCCTTCACGTAATGTTACCATGGCAGCAGGAGTAAAGCCTAGTCACCAAGGAGACAAAGAAAAAAAAAAAAACAATTGTGCTTTGGAAGATATAAATAGTAGCGGTAGCCAAGGCATGAACTGCCGAATTTGTATCAGACACAGAACATGGAAATGAGATAAAGTATAACAACATCAATGAAAGAAGAAGTAGTTATTGAGCTGGAGTATAAAATATTCCTTCATGAATTTCTGACAGTATCAGCATCCGTCACATGCTTGCTTGTCTCAGCTGCTGTCATCTCTGGTTTTAAGATTGCTCCCCATTGAATTTGGGCTTGATCTAATTATTTAAATAGAGATAAAAATAACGTAAGTCATAGATACGTGGGTCCATTTTCCTTCCTTTGGAGATAGTTAGCCTAGTACCTTCCAAAGAGATATCTTCTTATCCTCTCTGGCAGAGCTCTGATTGGTGCTTATCATTATCTTTCCTTATTGGCTATGATCATTTATTTACAGTATAGACATATCATGGTATCTCCCATCACATTCAAACACCTCACACATAAAATTAGGGTGCGTTAGAATTTGTGAATTTCTCCACTGGTTACCCTTTAGAGTCATGTTACCTGTTGTAGATGAATTTACACTCCTACCCACCAGCCCCTCCTTAATAGGGGTCTTTGACTCTTTGAAAGTCAAGTTGGTGGCTGTTCCCTCATCCATTTATCCTTTCTTGGCAGAATCCTGGGAACAACCTGCTGTTAAAGGCATGGGGAGAATTTTTAGCCTGCTTATACTATAACATAGGACAGTCATTAAAACACACAAAACCCTCATTCATGGATGAGGGCTGGACCTTCTGGTGATTAGCCTCAGGTATACCATGGTCAATGTTACAGGCATCATGTGGGGAAGAAACACGGTTAGAGACATTCTTTACAATGTTATCCTGTTTATTTCTCCTGACATTTGCTGCCTGAACACTTGCAGT